ACTCATGCCCATAGAGTTGGTGATGCCATCCAGCCATCTCATCCTCTGTCANCCACCTGATGAGAAGAGTTGACTCATTGGAAAAGACCCTGATGCTGGGAAAGATTGAGGGCAGGAGGAGAAGGGGGTGACAGAGGATGAGATGGTTGGAGGGCATCATCAACTCAATGGACATGAGTTTGAGCAAACTCAGAGAGACAGTGAAGGAAAGGAAGCCTGGCATGCTGCAGTCCATGGGGTCGCAAAGAGCCAGACACGACTGAGTGACTGAACTGAACTGAACTGTGTGAACTGCTTTCGATTATTTTCTGTATTCTTGTTGCTCTGGCATTTGGGGCCACAGTGACTGGGAAAAGACTGTCTCTCCTAGGACTTACCAATTCTTAGGTGTAGCAAGCATAACAAGTGACTTGCCCCAGAGTGTACCTTTCATATTCAAACTGACAATCCAGAGTTCATACTCTCAACTACCTCTTCTATCTGCTTCATGTATTCTAAGATGTAATATTCCTCTGTCCTAAGTAACCCAGGGTCTGGTACCAGACCACTAGAAAGAATTCCTATACTTCGGAGTCCACTGAAATTATTCAAACCAGCCAATTTAAAGATTGCTTACTCTGCCTTGCCTTGTTTTTCCAATAAAAACAATAATAAAGTCTCCTGCCCATGCTGTCCCCTTGCCCCATCTTCCTCCTGACCAATTTTAGTGCTTTCCTACATGGCCTGGCATGACAGGGCATGCCTGTCTCCTTAAGAACTATGAATATGAACCTTTCCAAATGGCAGCCATGGTCTGTTCTATAGGCTTCCTTATACCTGAACAATAATAAAACCTACATTTAAAAACTATTTTTTATATAAGTTGAAATATTTAAAAATGAAATTTGAGTCTTACTGACTCCCATAGTTCAGAAACTGATACCAAATGTCCTTAACTTTCAATGGCAAAAGGGTTATTTTATATATTCAATAATAATGTCTTCCTTTTTACCAGAATATAATTGGAGAACTCTACTACCTAAATAACATCTTGCCTAGAATGTCATATTGAGATTGATGCTCCTTGGATCAGGTAGGAACTGATGTGGCTTTATTATGAAGTCAATACCTACACAGGGCTCTTAGGATAATTACCCTGCTATCTAGTTTACAAGATCCAGCCTTATAGGTGGTTAAGTACCATCACTTCCTGGCAGGCCAGGAACCTAGTTACTTTGGGGACTTCAATAAAAGAGGAACTTACACAAATGGGTAAGTACTGCAAGTGAAATAAGGTGGAAAGAATTTGTTGAACTTGATTTCCTTGCCTTAGGAATGCAAATAATAGAGGCATTAAAAGTCCAATCTGAGCTTCCTTATGAAAACCTCCAAAGAAAATTTTGTAATTATTAAAAACTACGTCTCTAGATTTTGCAAAGTATGTAAGAAAACCTAAGTGAGAGTGAAAGCAAAAGTGCAAGTGGCTCAGTCATGTCCGACTCTTTGCAACCCCATCAACTATACAGTCCATGGAATTCTCCAGGCCAGAATACTGGAGTGGGTAGCCTTTCTCTTCTCCAGGGATCTTTCCAACCCAGGGATTGAACCCAGGTCTCCTCTTTGCAACCCCACGGATTATATAGTCTATGAAATTCTCCAGGCCAGAATACTGGAGTGGGTAGCCTATCCCTTCTCCAGCGGATCTTCCCAACCCAGGAATCGAATCAGGGTCTCCTGCATTGCAGGTGGATTCTTTACCAACTAGAAAAACTAGAAATGTGGTAAATTAACACTTTTGCTACACATTGGTAAATAATAAGGCCATACCTAATGAGACTAGGCTTACCTTATGATCAAGGTTAATCTTTCTTTGATAGTATTATGATCACAAGGAAGAAGGAGAGAGGGAGGAATATAAGGAAAAATTATAAAAGACTTTGAAATTTAGTGGATATTCTGGCTAGCTCATCCATCTGGATAATCTGTTTTTTGTTGTTTTTTTTTTTTGCCTATATCTAGGCTATTTTACAAGGTTACAAAGACAAAAATTAGCTTGTAGAATGCAAATAATTTCTCTCCATAGAAATGTAAATTGTGATCACAGAAAAGCAGTTGACTATCACCCTACAGATATTGCAACTTTTGCCAATTCTGTGTGCATCTATAAATTTACCTCAGCAATCCTTGTCAGACTATAAATGTGCAATACTTTGCATTCTGTTTTAAACTGGTTGTAAATATCTCATTGATTTCCTCATTAATTCATGATTTAAATAAAAATTTTGACACATCTCTATTTCATATCTGTGTAAGAGACATGATTATATCCTCTTTTGAAACATGACTTTTTATAACTGAATAAAGATATAATGCTATTTTATGGAAAAAATATATATACCATTTTACAAAAAATATTTATGTAATTACATACATGAAATATATGTGTGTGTGTGTGTGTGTGCATGCTAAGTTGATTTAGTCATGTCTGACTCTTTGCAACCCTATAGACTGTAGCCCACCAGGCTCCTCTGTCCATGGGATTCTCCAGGCAAAAATAGTGCAGTGGGTCACTGTGCCCTCCTCCAAGGGATCTTCCCAACCCAGGGATTGACTCCCATCTCTTATGTCTCTTGCATTGGCAGGTGGGTTCTTTACCATTAGCGGGAAGCCCCGCGTGTGTGTTTGTGTGTACAAACAGCTGCGTGTCATTCAGGGAATAATACTGAGTAACTGAGTGCCAGAGATCCAAGGATAGACAAGAAAGACTGACTCACTGACCTCAAGGAGCCTAAGATCTAGTGGACCTAACACACACTCAATGTTTGTCTAGCTCATGTGACCAAAATCAGAAAGCTTTCAGGCAGGGAAGAAAAACACTCACTCAAACAATGTTTGTCTAGTTTATGTGACCAACATCAGAAAGCTTTCAGACAGGGAAGAAAAACAAACTTACAAAAGTCTCTCCAAAGTAATCCTTTCTCAATAACTAATTATTGCTTAGGAGTACAATATATCACCAAAAGGAAAAAAATTCAGAGTAAAATAACAGGTTTTATGTAAAAAGGGGGTAAGTAAATTGCTAGACTCATACTTGGAAGTTCTGGGTATCTCTTGTTAGGAACATTGTGCTTTTATGGAAAAGAGTTTCCACTCAAGTTCTTCCAAATCTGACTCAAGAGGTTATGTAATCCCTCTAAACTTTTGTTTTTCCATTTGTACAAAAAGATAATAATAACCATTTCATGGGACCGTCGTAAACATGGTACACGCCTGGAACACAGTAAATGCTTAAATAGGTGTTAGCTGATTTTACTAATAATATTATTTATTGATGCTCAGTTCTTGATCAGTATTCAACCAATGTTAAATGTATCTCTCCAAAGTAAATGGGAAGAACAAAATCTCTTTCAAGTTCCTCTAAAATATGGGAGACCTAAAATTGTATTACTGACGTTCTCTTAGTCATTAGGGGGGAAAAATCTCATTGTGTACACAGAGATCTTAGGAATGAACTGGAAATTTTACCTGCAGTCCAGATTCCAATGCTATATTATCAGAGAAGACTACACAAGTCTCTCTTTCTCCTAGAATCTTCCTGTGCATGAGCAACAAACTTGGAATGACTTGTGCCATTAGCACTTTATTACAAGTGATGACTGGGTAATTTCTACCAGGCCAGACTATAGGATGACAAGAAAGAGGGCATTCAAGGAGAGGTGGCTGGTTACTCAAAGCCCACAGTGTTGAAGGTGATCCTTAGTAGGAGATTCAAGGTCGGAGGTTACCCAGAACCAGACTCTGCCGGCAGCCCTTTGAGCACCTGTGTCCTCCGCAGCACCACACTCCTAAACAAACAAGTGGTGGGTGTGCTCAGCAGTAGGCAGAGTCTCAAGTTCCTCATAACTCCAATGGCATTTCACACTTAACCTTGCCCTACAACTCAACTCAAATTCAGAAAATCACAACAGTTTCATGAATGCAGAGGGCATTTCATCTCACGGCAAAATTGACTAAATAAGAGGTCACAATGCCAAAAAAAAAAGAGAGATAAAAATCACAAGGCCAATAAGAAAATTACAAGATGAAATAAACTGCCCCACCAAAGTTGTTCTAACAGAGATCACCTGGTGCCTATTTGCTGGGTAGGACTGGACTTCAGTTATTATATAATTAACGTGTTACACTGAGAGCCTCCCACATCATATTCAATGTCAATAGCTTAGTGTTAACAAAAAAACAAAGGTCACATTAATGAAGCACTTATGTCTTCAAAACTGCATTAGGTGCATTACTAGTACAATCTTAAGGCTGGGACCATTAACCTCCCAGTAAGATTAAAATGGGTTGTATTAATCTCTTTTTATAAGAGAGAATAAATTATTTGAGGGGTTTTAAGAGTTATAAAAATAATATTCTTTGCTACCTCCCTCTACAACTAGAAAAAAAACTAAATAAACAAATATGTGTATGTAGATAAAATGAATTACTTGAATCAAGTTGGACAGATGCTTCATTCATACATGTAAATATTTGCTGACCTCAAAGAACCAGATTCTCCACACACATTAAAACAGGCACATACATTGCTTGAGTGTTTTTCCAAAGCCACTAAACTGCAGCCTAAGAAGAATGGCTCTAGATAACCCTGGGACTTTTGATCTGCTGAGAAGAGTCTCCAAGTTTGGGGCCATTGTTTCCCGTCCTGGGTAAGTGAAGATCACTGGAGATCCTCCTCCACTCTCCCCAGCAAAGACTGCAGCAGCTCCTCTCAGTCAATGTCAAAGTCCAGCATTTAAGAGTAGCAGTTTGAAAGGGTGCTTAATGAGCAGACTGCCCAGCACACAACGCTATTAATACCCACGGAAGGGGAGCATGCATGCGTCCCAGTTTGCCGGTGCCCGATGACAAGTCAAGCTAATCACTGCCTACAAAATAATGGGCTCAGAACTTCACCAGAACCGTGTTCTCGCCAGACACACACCCGGCCCGGCCAAGGTGCCCGAGGAGATGGAGGTTGCTACCTGACTCTCTGCGTGGCTCCTCCCGTTCTCCGCCTTGAAGATGGACTTGGGTTTCCGCGACTTGAAGTTGCCCATGGTGGAGTGCAGCAGGTCCAGCCGCGGGGGCTGCCCTACATGCTGCGCCTCACTGGGCGGCGGCGCGGGCTCCTCTAGCGGAGGCCTGGCGTCGGGGTAATTTTCTTTATTGTCTTCATCTCTAGAATAGGAAAGACTTGGGTTTAGAAAGCACCGAAGACTCTAATAACCCGCCCTGGGAAAGAGGCTGGCGATACCCACTGCTGTTCATTTACATGGTACTCAGCAAACTTTTTAATGTAGACTGTTTCAGAGGGACTGAACTTCACTTTTTAGAACATGCCACACTCCCTTCCAGTCTTTGCTAGAGGGTACATTTTCCATAGCTGTAGCTTTGTACATGCTATCGTGTTTGCTTTCCTTTTTTCACTTCAATATGGTTTCACATATGTCATATTTTTCTTTCACAATAATAATGTGACATATCCCAGTTAGCTATGACCATCCCAACTTTATAGATTAAGACTCTAAACCTCTGTGACTAATAAGGTGCCAAACTGAAGGGCTAATTCACTCAGACCTGGAGTGGGCCCTCAGTCTCTCGTGCATGAGTCCTTGGCTCAAGGTGTTGATGTTTGCTCCTCACTGGAGAGTCTTCAATCCTCTCCTTACAACTTTCAGAGGCATTTAAAAGTTTAACTAGAGGGGCTTCCCTGGAGGTCCAGTGGTTGAGAGTCCACCTTGCAGAGCAGGGGACACAGGTTTGATTTCTCATCAGAGAACCAGGATCCCATATGTGGCAGAGCAACCGAGCTCTGAGCTGTAACTACTGAGCCCAGGCAATTGGGGCCCACACACCACAACTAGAGAGTCTGCGTGTTACAGCTTAAGATCCCACAGGCCACAACTAAGACCCGATGCTGCCTGATTAATGAGTTCAGTAAAGATAAACTATAAAAAAAGTTTAACTAGAATCTATTTTAATAAGATACATACAACCTCCATAGAGTATAAGACAGGGGCCAAATTTCACCCAATCAAGCCACCTATTTAAACGACACTTTCAATGCAAAGCCAAAAACCCCAGTGTCTTGGTTCTGTTGGTATGGAATCGCTGAAGAAGACTGATTGGGCTGGCATTACCTGCACACACTCAGTACTGGAAGAGCACTGTTCATGTTCACCCATCAATCAAATTCAATGCAACATCATCCCGCCATTTCAATTTCCTCAAACATAGTGATGTAATAACACTCTTGTCATTTGTCCCTCTTAAATCTAGATGAATTTTAGAACTCAGCAACTACCATAGCCAAATGGAGCATTCCCCTTACATCAGCAGTCCCCAACCTTTTTGGCACCAGGGACCAGTTTTGTGGAAAACCATTTTTCCATGGACAAGGTGGGGGATGGCTCAGGCAGTACTGTGAGCAATGGGGAACTAGGGAACTGAGCAGCAGATGAAGCATCATGCTTGCTCACTCACCTCCTGCTGTGTGGCCTGGGTTCCTAACAGGCCAGGGAGGCAGTCTGTGGCCCAGAGGTTTTGGGGACTCCTGCTTTATATGATCAATATCATTGTCCTGATAGGTCATGTGATTTGGTGTAGGTCATGTGATTCTGTAGGACTGGCCACTTCCCCCTGTGCGTGTTTTCCTCTCCTGCTCACTGACCAGAAACAGCCATAAAAAGAGATTTTGGCACGGTCAGCTAGGAAACACTTCTTCATGGAAGTGCTTCCTCATGACTCAAGAATACGTTGAGCCAAGAGAAAAGACTAGCAAATGAAAGATTTCTATGCCTGCTGCTCAGGATGTCTTTTTACAAATAAAAGATTAAACTAATTAAAATGCTACCAGGAGGATGAGCTGTCCAGCTAGTTCCTGGGAGAAGAGCAAAGACAACATGCGGGTGGAAGGTCTGGAGCATGGCCAGGGTGCATGCAGTTGGGCAAGATGTGGAAATAAAGTTATGTGAAAGAGTTAAACTTAAGCCTCAGGACAAACTTAGTATCTGGTAAAGGAAAATCCAACAGGTGAAATAATTCTTCGTGTTAGTTCAGTTCAGTTCAGTTCAGTTCACTCGCTCAGTTGTGTCCGACTCTGCGACTCCTGCCAGTAACACTGATTACTATTTTCCCTTAATATCATTTACAATTAAAAAAAATTCTAAGTCACTAATAGGTTTGGAAACCAGTATCAAACTATGAGTTTAAAATAAATGTCTCTAGTTCATTTGAAATATCTGTCTCACACGACAGACAAATACTACTCATCTACATACTCCATGTTCTTGGGTGAGCAACAAAAGAAGGAAGAACAGCTTTTACCATAACCTAAATGTTTCTTAAAGAGATGGAATACCAGACCACCTGACCTGCCTCCTGAGAAATCTGTATGCAGGTCAAGAAGCAACAGTTAGAATTGTATATGGAAAAAAAGAATGGTTCCAAATTGGGAAAGGAACACATCAAGGCTGTATATTGTCACCCTGCTNGTGGCATCACCAACTGGATGGACATGAGTTTGAGCAAGCTCCAGGATTGGTGATGGACCAGGAAGCCTGGCGTGCTGCAGCCCATGGGGTCACAGAGAGTTGGACATGACTGAGCTGAGCTGAAATGTTCCTCATTCAAGGAGAATTCTAGAACACTCAAGAATAAGAAAAAAGTGACTTTTCAAATCTAAAATGACTCTTTTCATAGACTGCTTCCTAAAAATAAAACCTGAATTTTGTTTTTATGTCATATTTTCAAGGCACCCAAAAGATGTAAATGTCATTCTTGACTTGAAGAACAAGGAAGGTTGAGGGGAGGGGGAAGCATCTTTCTCTTATTATACAAATATAAAACATAAATACAAAAGTCATCTTTATGAATACATTTCCAACCTATTACTGGTTCCTCAGAATCCCCAAACCAGAGTACAGGTAATGTAATTCATGTCACTTCTTATTGCAATCAGCCATAACTGAGAATGAACATGGTGTTCTAAAAAGAACAGGAATCCAAAAGATCCTCCCACTTGTTAGAAATGCATCCTGAGCCATACCACCTCACCTCTGCGCCCTCATCCATAAGACACCATGCATCTCTAGTACAGTAGTACAGGCAATACAGTCTCTGTGAAATGCCTACCAAAGAAAGTTGGCTCCAGACCACAGTCCAATAAATGGAGGCTACTGTTACTCTTACATGGGGCCTAAGGCTGAGTAGCTGTTTGCAAAGAAAAAACTGAAGGGCTATTTTTAGTCTTTCCAATGCCTCCAGGATAAATTCCAAACTCTTTTGCAGGGTACTTAAACCTTCTGTAATCAGGTCTTTGTTTATCTCTGGAACTTTATTTCTTACCACTCCTGGCCTCCTCAGCTCTCAAGGTTCCTGCCATCCTGAACTGCTTGCTTCAACTTGAATTCTCTCTGCCCTCTGTTGGCTAGCCAGTAATTTGTTCCCTCTGCTTGGCAGCACCATAGTTTTTTGGCCTTATATCCCACCAAAAAAAAAAAAAAGAGGAGTCATGTGCCACAGGTAATTTTCTTTAGGAATCCATCCGAGAAACCTCACTGAGCTATTTGGTTCTTCTAAGTGAGTCTTCTGTTTCCCTGTAGTAAAATAGCACTTAATGTACTGTAGCATAGTCATCTATATTTTGATCTATCTCCTCCAGTTGCACTGAACCCCTGGGAGCAGAGACTGATTTGTATTTCTACATCCCATATCTGTCTCCACTGGTTTCTGATGCACAAAAATGTATAAAACAAAGGCCTTCAACAAATGTTCCTTATCCAACAAGTGGACTTTTGTGTCACATATACCAGAATCCAAATTCTGCCTCATCACAGCTGTGTTATTCTGGATGAGCTATAATCCCTCTGAGTCTCGTTTTTTCCACCTTGGATGAGGAAGGAAACAACAGCTTCCTTTTGGCTGTTAAGATTAAATAATAAGATATATGTGAAAGTGCTTGAACACAGCAAACTTGGAAGAGAAATGGTTAATGTTAAAATTTTGCCATCATACCATGAACCCCCTGATGACCAAGACTGCCATGTTTGGTGAATAATTCTAGAACCTCTTCCTTAAAGTCTATGATGGGAACATTTAGTGGGAACATTTAGATGCACTAATCAATGTTTAATTTAATAGGCATTTACTGAGCATTCTCCATAGAAAAGATACTGTCCTGAGTGCTAAGCAGGTATCCAAAAGTGAACAAAACTTCCTTCAAGAGCTGATAATCTATTAGAAGAAATAGGACATGAGAACAAATCACTAGAAATCAAAAAGAGTTAAGACACCAGACCAGGTTTCTGTTCTTCATAATTAAGAACCAGGCAATGGTGGGTCCTACCTGAGACTGGAGAAATCAGTCTGATCTTCATGCAGAGAGACTGTGTCTTCGTCACACCTGAAGAGAGGAAATAAAACCACATCATATCCAACTGTCTGCTGAAGCAGAAGAAGCAATATTCTAGAATTATCTGAAGATTAGCATAGGAAACTAAAGAAAGGAACAATCTTTACCATTCTCACCCAAACCAGTGTCAATTCCTCAGATGTCTACCAGGTAATGATACCAATGTTGTCATATCATGTGAGCTTAAATGCTTAGAACCAGAGGTAACACTCCTTTTTCATCCACTTCTCTGTATCACCTCAACTAACAAGACCTTAGCAACTGAAGTGTTCACAGCACTTGAGGGAACATCTGACACCAAGACTTGTAGACTGTTGTTGGCTCAAAAGGGATGCAGCTACATGCCTCCTGGCATTTCTTCTGCCTTAGGCAGTCCCAAACCACATCAGCTGCCATCTGGCTTGCTCCACTGGCCTCCAGACTTTCCTGACCTCCTTCCTTTTCACAAAACTTATGAAATAACCTTATGAAAAATTCTTGGCTTTTCCATACTGAAAAATCTCCAGAGTTCTACACTGCCTAAGGGCATCTTGAGGAGGACCACAGTCTCACCCCAGTGTATGAGGGAGACTTTGTTCCTGTACTCAGCCTTCCCCACCCCATCCCACCCAACCTCACCCCACCCTGCTCCAACCTGGAATGCTTTTTCTACCTTCAACTCCTACTCAGCCTTCACTGCTCAAGCCTTACAAGCTCTGTGAACTTTCCTTGCCAAGTTCATCTACATGCCATGTTCCCACTTTAACCTTAGTACTTAAATGTTGACTCTTCATTCTGAGGTTTTAGTAACCATCTAGTTCTTGCCTAGTGCTGTTGTGTAGTTTCTTTGTACCTCTGAGATCTTTTTAATTAGTTGTTAATTCCATGAAAAGAAATACCATCCTGTCTTTTTCTAGGTATACTGCCATAGTGCCCACAATATTACGCCAGAGTAGATACTTAATAAATATTTGAATCAAATCATTAACCCGGGCCCCTCAGCAAGTCTGTTCCCTGAAATGTGTGTGCCTAGTCGCATAGTCTTGTCCAACTCTTTGTGATCCCACGGACTGTAGCGTGCCAGACTCCTTCCTCCAGGCAAGAATACTGGAGTGGGTGGCCATTCCCTTCTCCAGGGAATTTTCCTCACTCAGGGATCAATCCCAAGTATCCTGCTTTGCAGGTAGATTCTTACTGTCTGAGCCACCAGGAAGGGCCTGAAATAATTGAGCAAGCGTTACTGAGCACTGACTGCCTTCCAAGTACTGCCTTAGGCACTGGAGCTGTGCTTCTCAAAATTTTTGGGATTCAGGACTGACCAGTTGGTTTTCTATTTCCAATCCACTGTGGAGAAATAATTTGGTAAAAATGTCACAGGAATGTCAAATTCTTATAAAAGTTATTAAAAGCATACTCCCTATTTCTGTACTGGTCTTGTCTCAGACTAGTTACAATTTGTGAACCCACACTTTGAGCAGCACTACTTTTTTTTTTTAGGATAATTGCTTTATAATGTTGTGTTAGTTTCTGCTGTACAACAAAGTGAATCAGCTCTGTGCATACATGTACCCCCACCCTCTTGGACCTCCCTCCCGCTCACCTCACAATCTCACACCTCTACGTCATCATGAAACGGTGCAGGACTATATGGTCCCTCCCTCCCCCCCTCCACCACGTTTTCTGCCTGCCTTGTGCCTGTAAAAAACCTTAATCAAAGAATAAGTTTCCTCAGAGAAGTGAGAAATGCTGAAACAAAGGAAAACAGTCTAGGGAGACTAAATAATAATAAGGTAGGCATTAAGCATAGACAAGGACCTTTAGTTCTTTCTCAAGGGCTGTACATAATATTCTGAGCCATATCCTGTGAGCTGTCCCATAGATACCAAAACCCCAGGTGGAGGAGTTAACTACATGATGACCAGACTGTACCCAAGACTCGAGCTGCCACAGTTCTGAGAAATGACCGCAAAGAAATGGGAACATGAGCTCCCCGGAACTGAAGATTAACTGTACCGAAAACAACCAAAACCGAAATCATTTGTTTTAAGGATCCTCCCTGTTTCTCCCCTAACTGGCACTGGCTGCCAACTTACACTTTTCTTGGTGGAATGGAAACTTGCATTTGGGTTGAGCTGACGAGCTCCAAGACGGGGTAAGTCTACCAGTGAGCACACAGGCAACATTCCCGTTTGTGAGCGCTTGCCAATTGGTTCTGACTGCTGTGGAGGACTGTTTGTGAGCACTAGTGCTATTTGGAAATTCTTGACAGTTGGTTCTGAATGTGTGCCTGATGTTGAGAACTGTTGGGACATGAGGTGCTATTTGGGCATTTTGCCAGTTGGTTCTGACATATGTCTAATGTTGAGGATCATTTGTGAGCACTGACTGCTATTTGGGCATTTTTGCCAATTGGTTCTGATGTCTGTCTGCCACTGAGGACCGTTTGTGAGCATGAAGTGCTATTTGGGCATTCTTGCCAATTGGTCCTGACATCTGACTACCATTGAGGAACGTTTGTTTTGGGACTTCACAAAGTGTTTGTTTGGGACTGTGTACTGGTCACCCTCAGAGAGGTTTATGACGGATCTGTTGTTTGGTGTGTGAGTGTATATTCCATTTGTGGTGATTGGTATTCCTGTTGCCTTATGTAAGATGGGAAATTCAGGTTCAATTCATTAAGAAAAATTTTAGTTGTGAATTTATGACTAAAAAAGAAAGATGATTTTTTTTTACAATGTATGGCTACAATATTCTTCAGAACCTGAAGAAGATTAAGATGAAAGCCCTGAAATTCAAAAAACTGGGTTTTTTTGCATATGCAGTTAGGGAACGCTAACTTGATAATTTTTTTTTTTTCAGATCCTGAGAAAACAAAAGTACGCCTGAGAAAAAGTTTGAGTGACATTTATCATGTCCTTGAAATACAAACACAGTCCACTTTGCCTGGATCTTCAGCCTTGGGTTAACTATGCAAAGGAAAAAAGGCTTTAAAACTGGACGGATAATTTGGCTATTCTCACTATACTCCATAAGCTGATTACCTACTTTTGTATTCTTGTAAGACCAAAAGGGTAACTAGAGATGTTTGGGTTTATTAAACATATGTGTTGTACCACTGAAGAAAAATTATGCTATAAAAAATGTACGGTTTTTTTGAAGTTATGAAGAATGTTCTTAAGTTTGCAGTCAGAAAATGATGGTGTAACATTTCAATCACTTGTTTCTTGGTTTTGTTAAAACTTTCAAGGGTTAAAAATTGTAACTGCTGTTGAGGACACTTGGTGAGTCCTCATATGTAAAAATGATAAGTGAAACATTTTGGTATGTAAAGCAAGTAGGATATATGTTGTCAAAAAAGAGAATGTATAAAGAATGGAGATATTTTTATTGAGGAAAAATGATAATAATTTTTTCCTACGGTTGTTTGTTTCCATATGAAAAATTACAGCACAAATTTGTCTGGATCTAGAAAGTGACAAAAAGTTTGTGAAAAAGGAATTTTGAAAAAAAAAAATGTGTATGTTGTCAGGATTAAGATTAGACTGACTTTAACTAGGTAAATGGATTTTGTTACTAACAGTAAACTGATGCAAAGTTGGTTTTTCTCTCTGTCAAAAAAGAAAAACTTTTTCTAGAATATTCAACTGATTTTGGTAACAGAGACTTCTAATGGAAAGTAATTGCTTTATTTCTAATCATACTTTTAACCCCAATGTTCAGGATGGAAAAATTCTCCAATAAGTTGTCACCAAGTATAGCTGCTCATGATGTTTAGCACTGCTGACTTTAAGAGTACTGCTTAAAGTACATATACAACTGTCTGACAGTTGGGTATGAATGATAAAATGTATGGCCTATAGAGCATTTCCCTACTAACCTCTGAGCCTGTTCATGATATCTAATTAGTTCCCCCTCCCCGTCCCCCCCCCCCCCCAGGTGGACAACTAGGCAAACATATAAATAAAAAAGAGGCCAAGCACTGAGGGACATGGATGGATCCAGAGCATGCAAATGAACCACTCTAGCAAACTTGGGTCAATTTCCTTGCTTTTCCTTTTTTTTTTTTTTATTTTTGAAGTCCCAATAACCCACTCTTTCCACATCATGGAAAACAATAATTCCTAAATGCTATCTTGTTCTCCACTATTTGAGGCATCTGCTTTAATAGATCATTTGAACTTTGTAATGTGAATTAAAATGTTTCCCAATAAAAGCAACCTAGCTAAGTAGAAAGATTACTGAAGAAGAAAAATCTAGAATTGTTGCTTCCAAAGAACTAGGGTTCAAACAGAGGTTCAACCTTTGAGCTCAACAATACCTATTATTTAAGAATTCGGCAAGAACTTTTTTTTTCATCCCCCTCATTTGATTTATTAATCTTTCTTCTCAAAGCACAATTAGTTAAAAATGGAAACTCAACACTAGAACATACAAAGTTGCAGATGCTTTCTGAAGTAGGAGGCCAGACCTAATTAGCTGATCAGATTTTAAGGGCTACGGAACAACTCCAGCCATCACCCAAGAAAACACAATTTCTAGGTTGTAGATATGGCAATGAGATAGATCTTTCTATGGCTTCCAGGGCGCACATATACAAGCTCTTTAAGTTCAATTGGGTTTTCCTTTGCTTCTGTGAAGATCATCAAGTTCTATTCAATTAACATCTTCTGATTGTTCTACTGAGTCCTTGCCCCAGAGCCCCCCAAAAATGCACAATACTGGCTCGATTATAAAACTAGATTTCACAGTGGGAACCCATATCCAGATATCCCAACTCTGGGGGAAAAAAAAATCAACTCAGATCAAGTACCCATCTGGTCCTAGGCATGAGGTTCTCTTCTTATGTTATTCTGATAAAGAAATTTAAAGACCAATCTCTTTAATGATCTTCATAAATATCAAAACTGACCATCTTCTAGCACAATGTTTTTCAAACTATAAATTGCAACCTATTATACGGGGTTAATAATTATACGGTCCTGAAATTAGACAGCAGCTACCATCATTTTGTTTTTATTATTGGTACAGAAACAGAATAGAAAAAAAGTGTCAATATAGTGAGGGCTAAGTGTTATTTCACGAAACTTGTTTAAATAAATCATGTATGTATGTGTGTGCTGGACTGCAATATAAAATGGTTTTCTTAGTGCTGTTCACAGTAAAGAATGTAAAGACACCTCTACCAAATGATTTCCTTTGAGGTTCTCATCAACCAGATTCTAAGTACAAGAGTTTTTAATTTGTGGTTGCTCAGATAATACATGAATAATTTGTCCTTGTCATCATTTTCCTGTGAAGTGCTCAAGGTAGTTAGTTTTCTCTCTACTTGGACTTTTGCTTTCTCTACTACCACTGCAGATGGTGACTGCTGCCATGAAATTAAAAGACGCTTACTCCTTGGAAGGAAAGTTATGACCAACCTAGATAGCATATTAAAAAGCAGAGACATTACTTTGCCAACAAAGGTCCGTCTGGTCAAGGCTATGGTTTTTCCAGTGGTCATGTATGGATGTGAGAGTTGGACTGTGAAGAAAGCTGAGCACCGAAGAATTGATGCTTTTGAACTGTGGTGTTGGAGACGACTCTTGAGAGTCCCTTGGACTGCAAGGACATCCAACCAGTCCATCCTAAAGGAGATCAGTCCTGGGTGTTCATTGGAAGGACTGACGCTAAAGCTGAAACTCCAGTACTTTGGCCACCTCATGCGAAGAGTTGAGTCATTGGAAAAGACCCTGATGCTGGGAGGGATTGGGGGCAGGAGGAGAAGGGGGTGACAGAGGATGAGATGGCTGGATGGCATTACCGACTCAATGGACATGTGTTTGAGTAAACCCCAGGAGTTTGTGATGGACAGGGAGGCCTGGCGTGCTGCAATTCATGGGGTCGCCAAGAGTCAGACACGACTGAGCGACTGAACTGAACTGAACTGAACTGAATCAACCACAAACAAAAAAACGTTAAAAGGTACTTTGCAGTTCATCTTCTCTTTCATATGATCTCAAATAAGCCTGACAGTGGTGTGAGGTAAGCATTACCTTCACCCAGTGGCTAAGGGATTTCCCAGGATTCCAAAGCATAAAGCAGTGATGCCTGTGGTGCTTCTGCTCCACACTAAACCCACCAAATAGTCTCTTCAGTCTAGGCTCAAGAGAGAGAGAAAGACTTGTTTTTTTAGAAGAATGGTGGAGAAAGAAATACCCATAAGTCTCTTTTTTGACTTGGGGTAAATAAGTACAGAGGTCTCAGATTGGTAATGAGATAAAATGTAGCTGTACTCAAAAGGGGACTGCCATTCCCTGCAGTACCATGTTCCTTGAAGGCACAATTGCAGAGATACAGGCTGCAATCCTGTGGGATTTCTTAAAGTGTGCCCCCAGAACCATTTGTGTTGGCACCACTTGGAGTGTCTGAGTAAGATGGCAAGCTGTGCTATATTCAGTTTCCTGGGATCAACATAATAGAAAAGAATATAAAAAAGAATGTATATACTTGTGTAACTGAGTCACTTCGCTGTACAGCAGAAATTAACACAACAGTGTAAATCAACTATACTTCAATTTTTTAAATAAATTAATTTTTTAAAATGGAAAAATACAGTTAAGTTCCAGCTTCATCCTCACTGCTAGCCCCACTAAATCGACTCTCTGAGGATAGGGCCAAGGAATGTGAGTTTTCAAACTAGATTACTTTTCCGCCACATAACTAGCATGCTTCCAAAATGTTCAATGCTGACCTAAAGGTTTACAAAACCCAGACCAGCATTTGGCTGACCCCAACACGATCACCCATCTCTAGGTTTCCACTTGAGAATAAAGCCTGGGAACTAGATTTTTCATAAGCCCCTAACCCCTTCCCCAAATGATACTGACAGTCCTTTGGTTTTGAGAGTTACTGCTTTGGATGATAACTAATTTGCCACAGAATTCACTGCTGGATATGCTCCATTTCAAATAACAAGTTAGCCAGGGCAACATAGGAAATGACCACCAAAAAGCAACAGATGAGAGGGTACACAGATAGAGAACACAAGGCCAAGGCCATTCTGATCTTGGAAGAATCTGGGTAGAAAAAAGAAACTGAACTGGGCCACATTTGCACAGGAAGGGACAGACAAGGCATGGGAAAAATTAGGAAGAGAAAAAAATGTGTCCTTGAGTCCCTCCCAATTCCCACTCCCTTTGACTCTTAAAAGCCCCCAGTTGGCCAAGCAGAACCCTCTTAGGTTAGACTAGCTGATAACATAATTTATATTAAAATATTAATGACAATTTGAATCCACCTCCCAGGGACACAGACTTTTTAAATTTCCATTTTAATAAGGGTCACCACCAGAGTTCTTCATCCAAAAAAAAAAAACCCAAATCTCTAGGTAGAATTTCAGGCAGTAGAAAAGATAAGTATGTGTGAGTGGGTAGGAGGAAGTAGGAGTAGGGTGGAGATAGGAGAAGGCGATGTTTTCTTTTATCCAAAACATAAAATAGAGGCAAGTGCTGTACACCAAGACCAGACCTGAACATTTATGAATCACCTGCTACTTCTCTGTCTCAGTATAGCACATTCTGATCCTGCTAGCTTTGGGGTCATGCCTAAAGAACCAAGGAAAACCGAGGGGAGGAGAAAATACTATATTAGACAATGACTAGTTATAAATGGACCTAGACTGTCCTGTTATACCTATGAATACTTGGTATGCTTCAAATATGCCCCTCAGATTTTTAGATTAGCCAGATGGCATCCCAATTGTCACTCAGTGCCTTTTAAAATAAATCACTGTCACTTCTCTCAAAACAACAACAAGATCTTATGCAATCAGAACTCCTTGGGGACTGTCCAAAGACAAGGTACCAGACTTTCCCCAGCATTTAACTAAAACCATTTTTAAAACACTGTCCATGTGAAATTTAAAAGTAAGGAACTCCATTTTGAAGCTTCTATGCCTATGGCTGACTTTGGGGATTCAGCCACACCAGGTCCTGAGAGTCAGGCCCAGGAAGCCTTTGGTGCTATATGCATAGCAAAAGGAAGAAAGCAATACCCGTGTACCCAAACCAGCAAGTCACAGCCTCATCTCTGGCCTGCACCTCTCCCCACTCTAAGGCTTTTAGAGAAGCAAAGTTATAGCACTGTTACCAAGCAAGTTCATTAACATGATGAAGGTTTCAATGAGTATTTTATACTGGATCTTCTAAAATCAACCCTGGATCTTTTTTTTTTTTTTTTTAAAGTAACTCCACCTAAGATAGCTCAAAGCTCAACACTAAGAGAGTAACATCCAGAGAAACAAAAGAATGTAAAAATCAAGAGGGCTTGGGAAGCCCTATAGTCCTCCATTACCAAGTCACTGATCCAGTGACTTGAACCTCACATCATTTATTTGCCTTTTAGGGAACTTCAGCAAATAGTTCCCAAGTTACTGGGACTTCTGTATCAAACTTGCAGCATTTTTTAATGTAGTTGAGTATATAACCATATACACCTCTTTTTCCTGAAAAACTCTTTAGAGTAACTTCTATCATAAGGTCCCAGAAGTAAACACTGTGAGTTAGCCTAAAGAAAGACTGCTAAATAAAGCATAGATATTTCATACATATATATATATATATGTATACATATGTAAATTACATATCAGTTACATATAGTATTAGCATAATACACTACCCATTAATTTTTAACATATACATATAATACAGTATTAAAAAAATTAAGGAAAGGATGACAAGAATTAAAAACATAAACTCTAAATATCGAATAAAAAATACCATGCATGCTGGTCTTGAGTAAAATATTTACACTCCTTCATTCCGTGTTTGAATGGTATTAGTTGTCCCAATCAAAAGCTTTAACCATAGAACTAGATAACACAGTCCTAAGATAGCCAGATCTCTGAGGGCAGAAGACAAAATTGACAAAGGGCATTCAAGAAAAGTTTACTGTCTTAAAAGTCTGTACAAAGGAGCGGATGAGGCTGTTTAGCCTATTTATCACATGCTGGAATTCAACTCCAGTCATTTCACATCCATCTTCTAATTGCTGTAAACGTACACAGCGTGCTCATGAAAACAGACACCAGTGTTGGCAAAACACAACAAAGCTTCCTTGCTGACATGTCAAAGAGATTTATTTTTCAAAAATCTGAACTCCAAGAACACAAATCTGGGAGCACTGTGCTCCCGTAAGCCATCAGTTTGCTTTAATAGCCCTCCCATAGTTGCTAAAAGGCTGATTTCAACCTGTAAAGATTTCTGGGCCCCATCAGTCCCCATGTCTCCCGGTCTTCACAGCCCCAGATTACTGGAGACAATGCATCTAGCACCCAGAGCAGCTGGGGACGGGGGAGGATACCTTCACGTTAGTTGCTCCCTGAGAAAGGCATGCAAATCTTATTGTATTGACAAGAATCACTTACTCTGTTACAGCGGTGCTGCTGAAGGAATTATCCTGAAGGCTGAAACAGAAACAAGAAAACATCAGCCAAGTCCGGCCGGGGAGCCGTCTCCCTGGCCGCTCTCTGGGAGTTAGAGCACACACACAAACATGGCATTGCAAGGCAAGTCTCAGGGCTCACCGGGCGCGCTCGCTCTACCTTGGGCTGCTGTCTGCACATGCTCGTAACGACACCCCCCGCAGGGGCCCAGCTGCACGGGCGAACCACAAAGCCCGGCAGCCGAGAGGCTGCGGGGACAGAGCTGGGCGGGGCGCGGCGGCCAGCCGCCCCCGGGACCCTCGCGAGGAGCACCTGGAGCGGTGCTCCGGGACCTCAATCTCGCCGGCCCAGCGCCGCCTTTAATCCAGGCCTCCCCGTGCCGGCCACCCCCTGGAAAGCCCGACTGTTTCTACCTAGGCGCTGAAATCCCCGGGGGACTTGCTTTCTTCCAGACGTCTCCTACCAGTTTTACAAGAGCTACCCCCTCTAGGGATGGAGGCTCGCAGAGATGCACAGATCGTTCAGAAAAAGCTGGAAGGGAACCAGAAGGGGGAGGGGACCATAACTGCTGTTTTCGGTGTCTATGTTTACTGCCCAGGAAGAAAAAGAAGAGCCCTGAAAGAGGGCTCCTAGCGTTACACCAGTCAGTCTGCTCTGTTATTTCAGTCCCCAGGAGCAAGCGCCCAGCCCAGGACCTCAACGCTCTGAGTGAACCAACTCAGGGAGAGGGCAGAATTTATTCCAGGCATTAGCTGGTGACTGGGGGGAACGTGAGCTGGGTAGGGCTTGCTCTGGCCAGAGCCGCTGGCCCAAGCTCCGCTGCCAACCGGCTTTACAAAAGATGAGAGATGGAATCCACCTGTGCTGCCCGCGTTAAATAAAGGCAGCCCTGCTGGGGGAGGGGAAGCTCTCAGTCTCCCACTTGCCTCCTTCCCCAGGAGGTGTCTGTCCTCTTCTCTTTTCATGGTTAATTTCTCCTGCCTGGTTGACCTTGATATGGAGTGAACAGTTACCTGGGAAAGATGCTTATTTTGAATTGAGAAGATCCTCATTCCCTTCTTTTAATCTCTTTACTCTCAGAAGCCACTGAGATGGTGGTTTTAGTCTAAATTACATAAGATGCTGAGTTAAACAACCACCAAAAAAATCAAAATTTAATTTTCAGATTATTAGAAAAATTACTCAAAACTTGGTAATAAGGCGAAAGAGCAAGATCTTTCAGTGTCACACCAAGACAGTGTTTCACAGGTCCAAGGACTGCTTAATTCTATACAAAAATGGACTGTCTTTGACTTGCTAGTCACTCTTGGTTAGATTTCGGACACTACAGAGCTATGTGCTAGCGTTGCACATTTTGTCCAATCTGTCCAGAAGAAAACCTCAGTATTTATGGTTTTATTGCATTATGCAACTTGAACAAATTTTGTATCTAACCTAATAGTCTTATAATATTAATAACATTCTTTCTAAATGCCTGTAAATATTCAGATCCTCAAAATACTCTTGGAACCAAGAGCATCATCATCTTATGTGTGTGTGTTTAGTCGCTCAGTTGTGTCTGACTCTTTGTGATCCCATGGACTGCAGCCAGGCTCCTCAGTCCATGGGGATTCTCCAGGCAAGAATACTGGAATGGGTTGCCATTTCCTTCTCCATCATCTTATAGATACCCTCATTAATAAGTTAATAGATCTCTGGTACGTGCCTATATTTTTATAAAAGTCATCTCTTTAACTTTCAAAGACATACTCTGAAAAATTGAAATTGAGTTTTCAAAGAACAACAGGTTTCATTAATATCCTTTGTGATTTTTCTTTCCCCTCTCTAAATATTTTGAAAAGTAACTGAATAAAAGCCTAATATAGGTTATTCCTTAGAAATACTTCAGGTTTGGTTCCAGATCATCACAATAAAGCAAATGTTGCAACAAAGCTCATCACAGGAATTTTTTGGTTTCCCAGTATACATAAAAGTTATGTTTACACTACACTATTAGTCTATTAAGTAAACAATAGCACTATGTCTGAAAAAAAGAGTACCTTAATTTAAAAATACTTTATTGCTAAAAAATACTAACCTCATCTGAACCTGTAATCTTTTTGGCTGGTGGAGGGAGGTTCTTGCCTTGATATTGATGACTGCTTACTGGTCAGGGTGGTAGTTATCTGAAGGCTGGAGTGACTGTGATCATTTCTTAAAATAAGACAATGAAGTCAGCCACATCAAACCATCAATTTACGCTTCCATTCATGAATGATTTCTCTGGAGAAGGAAATGCTATTTGATACCATTTTCTTCACAGTAGAACTTCAGTTCTCTCAAATCCTGTCACTGCTTTATCAACCAAATTTGTATAGTGTTCTAAATCTTTTGCTGTCTTTTCAATAATCCTCACAGCAAATCTATGCCAGGAGTAGATTTTATCTCAAGAAATCACTTTATTACCCACAAGAAACAACTCATTCATTGACGTTCTTTCACGAAAGTGCAGCAATTCACTCACATCTTCAAGTTCCACTTCTAATTCTAGTTTTCTTGCTATTTCCATGACATCTTCAGTTACTTCCTCCCCAGAAGTCTTTCACCCCTCAAAGTCATCCATGTGGGTCAAAATCAACTTCTTCCAAACAGCTATTAATGTTGGTATTTTGAGCTCTTTTCATGAAGCACAAATGTTCCTAATGGTATCTAGAATGGTGAATTCTTTCCAGAAGGTTTTCAATTCACTTTGTCCAGAGATGTTAGAGAAATTACAACCTGGGGCAGCTACAGCCTTACAAAATGTATTTCTTAGTAAGACTTGAAAGTTTAAATTACTCCTTGATTCATGGGCTGCAGAATGGATATTGTGTTTCAATTTCCTTCAAGAACACTTTCTTTGTATTTACAACTTGACTGTGTGGCACAAGAGCCCTAGCTTTCACATGCCTTCCTCTTCTTAGTTTAGTCATTTCTAGTTTTAGATGCTAGGAAGAGATGTGCAATTCTTCCTTTCACTTGAATACTTAGAGGCAATTGTAGAGTTGTTAACTGGACTAATTTCAGTATCTTTGTGCCTCGGGGAATAGGGAGGCCTAAGGAAAGAGAGACAGGGAATGGTCAATTGGTGGAGCAGTCAGAACACAGAGAACATTTATCAGATAAGGTCATCATTTTATATGGACATGGTTTGTGGTACCCCCTAAACAATTATAATAGTAACATCCAAGAGCACTAATCACAGATCACCATAACAAACATAATAATAATGAAAAAGTTTGATATATTATGAGAATTATCAAAATATGACACACAGACACAAAATGAGCCAATGATGTTGGAAAAATAGTGCCAAAGACTTACCTGAATCATAAAGATCAGAGCAGAAATAAATGAACTAGAGACAAAGAAAACAGCAGCAGAGATCAATGAAAATAAAAGCTGGTTCTTTTTAGAAGATATAAAAAACTGATAAGCTTTTATCCAGACGCATCAAGAAAAAAAGGAAGATTCAATAAATTTAGAAATGAAAAAGAAATCACAACTGACACCACAGAAATATAAAGGATCATAAGAGAGTATTACAAGCAATCATACACCAATAAAATGGTCAACCTGGAAGAAATGTACAAATTCTAAGCAAGGTAAACAACCTTCTAAGATGGAACCAGGGAGAAATAGAAAATATCAACAGATAATCACAAGTACTGAAATTGAAACTGTGATTGAAAAACTTCCAACAGACAAAAGTCCAGGAACAATTGCCTTCACAGGCAAATTCTATCAAACATTTGAGAACAGTTAACACCTATCCTTCTGAAATGCCTTCAATGAATTGCAGAGGAAGGAGTACTTTTTTTTTCATTTATTTTTATTATTTGGAGGCTAGTTACTTTACAATGTTGTAGTGGTTTTTGCCATACATTGACATGAATCAGCCAAGCATTTACATGTGTCCAAGTTCATTTTACAAGGCCACCATCACCCTAATACCAAAACCAGACAAAGATATCACAAAAAAAGAGAAAATTGCAGGCCAACATCACTGATGAACATAGACAAAAGACACAAGAATCCTCAACAAAAGGCTTGACACAGGGTTGCCAGAAACCTTCAAATTGTTAAAAAAAAAAAAACCACCGCCATTAGTATCTGCAAAGAACAATAAATGGAAGCACATTAAAATGAGGTCTTAGAGCTGAAATTTATGAGCTAAGTTTAAAAATATTCATCACTTGAATGATTTAATATACAGTATGTATACATTCCTAAGCCTCTTATGAGTTACATTTGGGAGTGTCAGCCTTTGACCTCTTCACTATATATATGTATGCATTATTTAGCCATCACAAAACAAGGCTTATTCTTTCTGTCTTATTGAGACTGATACAGTAAGTTTATATTCTGGATTCTTGGCTCTAAAAGTTCAAAGGTTGCCAGTTTTCAGAAACCTTATTCATTGTCTATGGGGCTGATTCCAAATGTTCTAATGCAGAGAAAGATCCTATTTTTCTCATTTAAGCATCTTTAGTGATCAATTGGAATGGAAAAATATACTGCTTTCAACTTTGAAAAGAACTTGACCAAATATATGAAATAATGTGGGCCCTTTGAAAACAACATTAAATATCAACTGTATAAAACACATGTAAGTATTCAATAATGTCTATGGAAAAGAACTAATTTTCAGCATTTCTGTGAATAAAGTGAAAGTGAAGTCACTCAGTTGTGTCCAACTCTTTGTGACTCCATGGACTATAGCCCACCAGGCTTCTCCATCCGTGGGGTTTTCCAGGCAAGAATACCGGAGTGGGTTGCCATTTCCTTCTCCAGGGCAGTAAAGCATTTTGTTGTTTCTCAACCAACATTTCTCAAACTTAATGAAGACTAAACTGTTTTTTGTTAAATACATTACCTATTAACATCATGTTGAACTAAGAATTCTGAGGAAGAATTTCCTAAGTATGTCAGGGGAAAAATGCAAAATATATTAACCAGTATTATTATTAATTGAACAAATGAATGAATCAACAAATAATGCTACATGATTGTCACTATTTCATAGCTATGAACAAGCTAGACATAGTCCCTGTCATGTTTTAGGGTAATTATGTAGTATGTACACATATATGATATATAGTGTACACTGTATGTACAACCCTATTTTGTACAATATATGTAGAATAAAGGGAAAATGAAGATGCTGGATTTGAATATGTTCATTTATATGATAAAAGTTTCATGTTTTACTTTTTCTATCAGTGTTCTTAAAATCAACATCTGAACTTCAGACTAAATAACAGTAGTCTTTATTATAATTGAAAATAAGTCTAATATATTGACTTGGCTATATATAAAATACAAAGCAATAAACAGTGGTCAAGAAAGAAATTTCTAGAGTTGCCAGTGTTCAAGACCCACCAGTTACTAGAAGTCTGAACTCAGACAACCACTCCATGCCTCAGTTTTCTCAACTGTAAAATTGGAGGCAATAACAACTTATCTCATGGCTTTTAATGGAGATAAAATGACATAGCTGAAAATGACACAAAAAGGTCAACAAATGTTCTTGTTATAATTATTATTATAAGACTATATTAACATAAAGTTAATGATTTATATTCAGGAGTATGGGACAGGATGAACAAACTGCTGTGCTTGAGTAGTAGGTTTAAAAGATGATATTTTCTTCTATTTCTTATAATGACACAGTGTTTACATAGTATTTTTTAAGACCAATAAAAATGAAAACTTTACTAAATGTAGATATGTTGCTCTTAAAAATGAAATGAGCTCCATCCAGAATGGCTTCGTGCTCACTTTATAGGTCTTTCATGTAAAATACTCACACATCCCTAGAGGAACATTCAATTCTGAGAAATCACTTTCTGCAAGACCCTGCGGCAAGGAGCCAGGATCTTCACAATGCCAGGAAGTCAACAGAGGCCTGCTCTCCTGGCCTGCACACAGTGACTTGCAGCTTCCTGCCAGGACCCTGGGAAGTGATCAGACTTCCCTGTGGAAAAAGAGGACTCTTGCCTGAAAAGATAATGTTCCATAAAGAAGTCTCTCCCTGATTCTCTGTCCTCTTGTCTTTTCTCTCACCAGTTCTAATACCTGACGTTACTAAACAGGCCTCATGACCTGAGTGGTATCCTCCTGAAGATTCAAAGATGCCCAGGGAAGCAAAGTTGAGATACCAAATATAAACTGATGGAAGACAGCTTATTTAACATCCCCTCCCCCAATTAATGCTAGTCCAACTTTGTCTGAGAATCTCTTTCTGATCCATCCGACAACAAAATATACATATAATGTAAACTGATGGCTTACCAAAATTTTAACTTTGGTAGAAGATTCAGGATTTCATGAACTCAGTAAAAAATGATGAAGACTGACTTAAATCACATTCAAAACCAATGATAAATGCTGCTGCTGCTGCTAAGACGATTCAGTAGTGTCCAACTCTGTGCGACCCCATAGATGGCAGCCCACCATGCTCCCCCGTCCCTGGGATTCTCTAGGCAAGAACACTGGAGTGGGTTGCCATTTCCTTCTCCAATGATAAATGAGGTTTTGGCAATAACGACTAAAGAATAAAAGTTTACAAGGATGGTAACATGTAAATATTGAAGGGAATGAGTTAAACATCAAAGGATTAAAAGTGTTTCTTGGAAAAATTTATGAAGCCCTTAATTAATTTTGTAAATGTTACCTTTTTATAATTATGCAGTACATGTCAAATGTGAAGTAAAGGTGAACATTAGATGAGCTATTAAAATTTTTGCAGAAAAATGACACGCGGGCACACACACACACATACATACATATATGTATATATCACCTCCAATGGGCATAATTTATTCTTGACTATTTCTAAGAATTAGCTCACTATTATAAATTATATTCCTAATATAAACTAAGAACATTTTTATAATATATTTACTGTTTACCCATGACCTACCAGGCCATATGCACCCTGGCCCCTAGTCAACTCAAAACTTAGCTTCAATCATAGTGGTCTCCCTGTGCTTATTATAACAAGTGAACTTGATCCCTCCCTTGGCCCTTTGCACTTGCTATTCCCTTTGCTGGGAAAACCACCCCCAGATCTGCTCAAATATGCTTCTTTGGGGAAAACATCCCTGACCAAACTTCTGAAATTAGCAGCTCCCATCACTTTATTCTGTCTTTTCTTCACGGGACCTGTCGCTACTTGACATTTAATATTTGTTTATTTGTGTTATAATTGCCTCTTCTACTAGAATGGGGGCTCTTTGAAAACAAAGATTTCTGAGTCTTTTTCACTACTGTATCCCCAGGGCTGAAATTGGTGTCTACCAGGGTAGGTACCGAGTAAATATTTGAGAAATAGAATGAGTGATTATTCAGTTCTACTTTCTTTTTCAAGATAAAGGTCTATTCATCCCTCATTTTTCCATTCACTTTGAAATGTTAG